ACCTGGTGGAATAGTCTCAAGCTTCACAGCATAGTCTGTACCTTTCAGGGTCTTATCAATTCAGAAAAAAATATAGGACTTAGTTTTGTCAGATTTGAACATCATATAAAGCTAGGGAAGAAAAGGTGACTAGTACACTGGAGAATATAATCAATATTTAAAAATATCTTAGATTGAAATTATGAGCCCAGACCAATAAATTCATTTTTTAAAGAAGATAAATGTGAACTATTTTATTAGTTTCAGAAAAATCGGTCATAAAAATTTAGGATTTGGTGAGGATGCCATCTAACCTGACAGTAGCTCCTGGAGATAAAAGTGAGAGATTTGGGTTTTTTTTTTCCACACTTTCCAAATGTTAAGTGCATTCTGGGAGAAATGCTCTATTTCTTGGGACCCAGAGCTGTGCCTGAGTTTCACCAATGTTACGTGAATGGGGCTTTGAAATTTATGGGATTGCGTTAGTGGGAGTCAAGAATATTGAAAAGAATGTTTATGTATCGGTTTTATTAATGGAAGCAGAGTGTAGATCAGGGAAAGTGCATGGATGATCCCATCCTCTCTGCAGTTCTGACTCCATCTGGAGTACTTGAAAAGGTCACTTATGAGCTAGGGTATGTCCAGAGCTTAACAGCCAAGATCACAAAGGATACTGACATCTTGTTATAAAAAGAAGAAAGGAAAGAGCTGTGGATGCTTCTAGATAAGAAAGTGAACAGTGCATGTGATTACACTTAATCTCTGTTGCTTCAGGGAGGAATGGGTGGGTACTTGTTTGAGTCCTTGCAGGTCTGATTTTGCTGTCTGTTTCTGCTAGCTTTTGCTCATGATACTTTGACTTTGTGTGTGCTTTTGATTTTTTACTGTGAGTTCATATTCCTTGAGAATATATCTGTAGAAATTCTTTGAGGCCTAAAGTTGAAGCTCTGTTCTTCCATAGCAGATTTGCTTTTGCTTCTGGCAAACACCTGGGAACACCCCAGCCCCAGTCTGTTGTATTTACAGTCTTGACTTGTGGGTTTTTGAACCATCCCGGTATGTAAATTTAGATTACAGATCAAACGTGGCCCAATTTGTTGTTATAAAATCTCATTGCAGCTGTTGTAGAGAACTTCTGGCCCCCTCATGAGTTAGGGATCTTTATTACTGACAGCTTTAGTGACCATATTTTGGGAAGGGAGTGATATAGGAGAGATTCCTGTATTAAAAAGAAGGTTGTTATGTAGATAACCTTTTGGGGCTCTTTCATTATGAAAGTATATAGTTTTAGCTAAAGTAATCATTTTTGTTTCTCTGGGGAATTTACGGTTTTGAACCAGGCTAATATTGAATGACATTTAAATCTGATTCCCCTAAGAATGGAAGTTGTGAATACATGTCAATTATTAGAAAACACTGAATCTGCACTAGAAGTTATCTAATCCATGTTGTGGTTTTGAAAGCACGTTCTTAATCAAACTGTTGAACAAAATTAGATTGGTACCACAGCCCTCACTCCAGTGTAAACACAAGTGGAATATTTGTACATGGTTGGTATTTTTTGAGAGATGTTGTACTTTTCAAGTAGAAATCAGTTAAGATACCCCAGGATTTAAATTTTTTTCTGTCAAAGAATTACTGAAAAGCCCCTTTTCCTATTCTCCACCTGGACAATTTTGTCTCATCCTTCAAGATCCAACTTGGTCATCTTTAGTGTTCGTTCCACTGCAACTCTCAGTGAACAGTATGTCAGATAAGACATAATGCTTTAAAAACCTGTTTCTGCCTTCATCAGTCTCTTGCTTTTGGTTGTGTAGAGGGTATTTGAAAGAAATGAAAAACGTAGATTGCTTAATTAAAAGTATGTTTGACAAATAGAGCAATCTGCTTTTCGTTGACTAGGTTAAGAACTCTTTGCAGTTCAGCTCTGGAATAAAATGATTTTTCTGTGCAAAAATAACTTCCCATTAAACAAAGCAGTCTACATAGAACCATCTCTAGAATCAAAAGCAAGTGGAGGAATGCATAAATTTACATGTACTGTGGGCCTGTTCATTGCATATTATTCACTTTAATCAGGCTGGAGAAATGTCAGATATGGAAATGGCACTTACTATCCTGATATTAATGTACATTAATGCTTTACAGATACAAATTAAGGGCAATGAGAATTGCTGCCTAGCAGTAAGAGAAAGGATTTCTAAAGCCTTTGCTGAGAATATATACTATCATTACAGAGATGTAATAGTAGATTTGTGCAGAAACTTCGAGGATTTCTGTGCACTGCAAGTATTTCCTCTCTGTTTGTGTAGTTCTCTGAATCACCTGTCCAGTAAAAAAGTGGAATCAGAAGGAACTTTCCCCTCTGGATGTTATATAAATGATGGTGGGCCCACTCCATTGATTGGAGCTCAATGCTAATGAGGCTGTCCCAATCACTGTTTGGGACCAATACATAATAACTCGCAAGTGAGTCAGGCCTCTTAGATTAAAGTAGTGGTTCTCAAAATTTTTAGTTTCAGGACCCTTTACAATGCTTAAAAATTACTGAGATCCTAATAGCTTATGTACTAATTCATTTACAAATCACAATAATAAATATATTACATATTAACATCAAAGCAATGATACCACATGTCATGTAATATCTGGAAAATTTCATTGTAAATCATGAGAATGAAAAAATAATGATATCTTAGTAGTATTATGAAAAGGATTTTTGCCCTGGTCGGTTTGGCTCAGTGGTTAGAGTGTCAGCCCATGGGCCAGAGAAGCCTGGGTTTGGTTCCCACTAAGGGCACATGCCTCAGTTGCAGTTTGTCCCCGGCTCCGGTTGGAGTCATGTGGGTGGCAGCCACTCGATGTGTCTCTCTCGATGTGACATTTCTCTCTGCCTCTCTCCCTCCTGCTCTATCTGAAGATAAATGCAAAAATGTCCTCAGGTGAGGATAAAAAAAAAACAGGATTTTTACCTTGAAGACCCCCTGAAAGGGTCTTATGGGACCACATAGCTAAACTTCTAAAGATAGATAGGGAGGGAAAGATAGGCCAGCCTAGAAATCTTTCCAGATATAAAGATAGCTACTGGTTTCCCTCCATGAAGAGTTCTTGGAAGTGAAGTCAAGGTAATAGTTTTTAAACAAAGCTGTGTGTGTACCAGGTACACTGATAAGAGGAGTGGAAGCTGGGTGGGAAATGCAGTTTTTATTCTCTTGAAACCTTGGCCATAAAATCAGTTAATCAGTAGAAAAACCTGCTAAGTATTGGGGACATCATCTAGCCCATGCCAAGGTGCAGACTAGGCTGAATGAGCATGTGCTTCACCCCTGCAGACTGGAGGAAGTCTGGGAGGTGAGTGAGACACTGATCCCCAGAGCCTGCCTGCCCACAGCTTGGTCTGCTCCAAAGCCGGACAGGCAGCTGGAGGAGAGCAGGGTACTCAAGATAATTCAAACATCAAACAGAGACACACCATGTGGGGTAGTTCCTGTAAATGGGGAATTAACTCTGTTTCAGAAGACAATAAGTCATGAGATAGAAGGCTTATGCAAGTCTGCTAGTAAGGTAATATGCTTTGAGGATATTCCAGTGACGCTTAAGAAATCAGGGTCAAGGAATCTAAATTGAATGTTAAAACCCCTGATTCTGGGTTGCGGATATCTTGATGTGTCTAATTGCATCTTTAAAAGATAACTCCAATTCCCAGAAATTAGGATAACCTGGAATATGGTAGTTGAGATTTTCTATAATTTCAAGTTTCAAGGCTAGATCTGTTGCAAAACCAAATGCTTAGTTTTTCTACTTCCTTTATGGCCTAACAGCCCACAAGATCGAAAATAATGTTCCTTACTATTTTATGCAGCCACGTCCTGCTGATTGTTTCCTACCTCTGCAGTTCAAAAACAAACAAACAAACAAAAAAAAACATTATCTGTTAATAATGCTGCTGAATTATTTAGGGAAGTCCTTAGTGAAAATAAGTGATGGCTATGCCAACTAATTTCTCTTCCTCACTTCCTATCTCTTTTCCCCAAGGGTAAATCTTCCAGGCTTCCCAGCCCATTATCACTGTTAAAATATAGAAGGAAAACCGATACCCAAATTGTTTTGTTGTACTTGGGCTTAAAATCGGTGATTTGCTTGGAATTGGGATGCTTCCAGTAAAAAAAGGAAATGTGGTTAAAATGGGCACTTAACTGTTTAATAAAGCTATCTATGACCTTCCAACAAGTATTCTAAGTATACCTATTATAGTAGGGTCAACTTGTGTTTCTTGTGTGAGAGCTTCTCCTTGGGGCCTTGAGGCATGTGTCTATATTCAGTATCTACACCAGGCTGCTTCCTTCTTTGTGTGATTTCTCAGTAATGTTGCTAAGTTCACCTCATCACCTGATCCAGAAGTCCCTCCCTTACTTTCAGTCCTGACGTCTGCGTCCTGTCCAACCTTTTTTCTCTATCCCCTCCTCATGTATATAATTTCAGGAATTTACTACTGGCCTCTGTCAGCAACTTTGATTCCTCTCAAATCTATGCTCTGTGAACACCAGAAAAAGAGAACCAAGAAATGGTTAAAAGTGCCCATGGATGGGGAGAAATAAGGTGGGGACTGTTGCTTTTCACTGTTAGTGCTTCTGAATGGTTAAACTTTTAACCATATGCTTATAATACTTTATGACAGCAAATAAATTCATCATTCTTGATAACTCCAGAATGGTATTACGAAAATGTTAATGTGACGATTTATTTCTCTATTTAAGACCCTTTCTTTGATGATATCCTGTTGCCTGTGATATCAACATAACCACAGGTATATATTCCTGTGCTTCTGCACATGCCATTCCCTCTGCAGGAGGCAGATTCCACTGATAGGGATTGATCATTATGCCAGAGTCTTCTCTGGACCTGGGTTTTGCACAGGAGCCAGTGGTACTCTGCCCAGACTGAGCAGGGATGGAGCTGTCTTACATGAACGCAGGTGGACTAATTCAATCCTTTGGATTTGCCCTCCCTGTTTTCCACAGCAGTCTGAGCTATCAGCTGAAGAAAGTCCAGAAAAATTAGGAACCTCCCAACTTCATCATCGAAAAGTCATTTCCTTGAACAAGCAAATTCTGCAGAAGACCAAACATCTGGAAGAGGTTGGTGTTTTCTTTTTATAATTGTATGTATGTAAAATGAAACCATTGTTCTTCACAAAGAGAAAAATTGAGGAAGGAGTTAAGGTCTTTGTGGTAGAATGCTTAAAGGGAGTTCTAAAACAGGGGTGCCAACCCAGCCTCCACTTGTTTTTGTAAGTAAAGGTTTATTGGAATACATGTACACACATGTTTGCACGTTTTCTGTGGCTACTGTCTAGCTCCAGTGGCAGAGTGGCATTCTATTTGCTGTAGGTGCAGCAGGGATCACAGGGCCCACAAAGCCTGAAATATTTATTATCTACCCTTCAAAGAAAAGGCCTGCCAACCTCTATTCTAAAAAAAGATCACAGGGCAGGAGTAGCATTTATTCACAGATATTTACTCAGTACTTCCATGTGCTAGGAACTAACCTAGGCTGTGGGGATGAGTGAAGAACAAGTTAATGATCCTTCTTTCAAAGATTTTCAGGTAGTAGTGGGAGACATACACTAAACCATTCTCACACATCATTTAGGTACAGCTGTGATAAGTGCTTGAAGGAGAAGTCTAGACAGCCGAGAGCGTGACTGATGGGAAGACCTGATTTGATCTTGGGTCACAGAGGACTGCATCTGGAAAGACGAGTAGGCACTAGCTGGGCAGGAAGATTGCATGGGAAGTGTGGGGCTTGGCTGAGGACTTATGCAAAAACATGAACTAATACCGGGGAGAGGAAGGGTCTTGGCCAATTTCTGTTTTGTGGCTGGAGAGTCATGAGTGAGGCAGCTGGTTAGCAGAGCATGATCAGACAAGACTTCCAATGTCATGTTAAGGACAGTGGAAGCCATTGGAGGGTTTAAGTAGAAGAGTAGCAGGATCAGATTTGCATGTTTCAAAGACCATTCTATTTGCTGTGGGAACATGAATTAGTTGGATTTGGGTGCTAAGGGGTTTAGGGGGGACCATTAGAAAATTTATCCAGTAGTGTAGACGTGAGCTTTTGGTAGCTTTGACTAGTGGTGATAGGGGAAATGGAGGAAACCAATCATTTTTAAGAAAGCTTTAGGAGATGGCATTCTGTAATACTTGATGATGTATGGACCTGTTTTAGAAAGACCTTTATACATTCACCTTGAAAAGTAGACTTAAAAAGAAGCTGGGGGATTCCCTGGCCTGTTTGGTTCAGTGGTTGGAGTGTCGGCCTGCGGACCAGAGAATCCTGGGTTCGGTTCCCGCTAGGGGCACGTACCCCCCCAAAAAAGAAGCTGGGGGTTTGACTCATGAACAGTCATTAGAAGACAAAGTGTTATATGCTTCAGTTGCATTGGCAATAATATTTAATTAATTCAAAAAATACATGTAGCAGAAGATAATGGAAATGAATATGGCTTTCTAAAGAACAGTTCACTAGTACTTCCTATAACAATTGATTTTCCAAAAATGGGTATCAATTGGCATTTTGAACTTGTATGTTTTATATCTTTTCAAATCCCACATATTCAAAAGATAGTACTATATCAACTGGTCCTACCCAGTCATTTCTTTGATTGAATTTGTTCTATTAGAATTTGTTCTACCACAATTAAACAGTATGTTGGTTTTTACTAAATGCTGTGGATCATAAGCAAACAAGGATTCTAAGATGAACTGTGATTTGGTTTTCATTTGATAATTTGTTAAGGCATTTTAATGCTCTGCACAGAAAGTGTTATCATTACTCCTGACCCTTGCCATTGAAAGTCCTGAAAGTGATTGGTTCCGAAAGAACTCAGCACAGGCTCAAGATGAGCATGAATCAAGAATGAGGCTCTGTCCATCAGAATGTCTTTATCGTCTGAGGGTGGATAGCTTTGAGGATATTGCAGACCCCATGAGCCAGATTATCTCAGCATGAGTAGATGTTTTTTTTTTTCAACTCCTGCCTCATTCCAGTGGTAGGGCAAGCCATTGCCCGGCTGGTGTGGCTCACTGGTTGTGTCGACCGGGCACCAAGAGGTTGCTGGTTTGATTCCCAGTCAGGGCACATGCTCAGGTTGTGGGCCCGATCCCCAGTGTGGGGCATGCAGAAGGCAGCCAATCGATGTTCTCCCTCATCGATATTTCTATCTCTCTCTCCTTCTCACTTCCTCTCTCTCTAAGATCAATAAAGGGAATTTTTTTAATTAAAAAAAATAAGATAGAGTTTAGGAAGTGGAATTGTGCATCAAAAACCTATATGCATGTTTAGTTTTGCTAAAAACCGTCAAATTATTTATCAGTTATGCTGCCAACTTTTATTCTACCAATAGTATATGAGAGAATTGAAACCTTAAATCTAAGAACCTCTCCTACAAGGTAATGCAGGGGGGAAAGCAACCAAGATGCACCCGTGGCCTTAGTGATAAGAACCCTGGAGAAGGTCTTAGTCCAACAGAGAAATGAGGGAGTGGTAAAAGCAAGAGGAGGAGTAAAGGACATCTCATGGTCCAACAAGGGAATATGCTACGGTGGCACAGAACTGCAGTGCCATTGGTAGATAACTGAAAAGAAACTAGAGACTGAAGAAGAAAGAGGAATCAAAGAGAGTATGAACCAGCAGCTGAATTTTGGGGTTAATAAAGGTTAATGAGGAAGAAAATAGAGGTAGGAGAATCATAGAGGACTACAGGAGATGAAAACTAAGCCTCGCTCCTGGGACATTTCCTGTTTAAGAAAATATGGTCAGCCCTGGCCGGTTTGGCTCAGCGGTTGGAGCGTTGGCCTGTGGTACAGAGAGACCCGGGTTCAGTTCCCGCTAAGGGCATGTACCTCGGTTGCAGTTTGTCCCCGGCCCTGGTTGGTCGTGTGGGTGGCAGCCACTCGATGTGTCCCTTCACATCGATGTTTCTCTCTCTCTCTCTCTCTCCCTCTCTCTCCCTCCCGCTCTATCTGAACAAAAAATGGAAAAATGTCCTCGGGTGAGGATAAAAAAAAAAAAAAGAAAGAAAATATGGTCAGCTTTAGCCGGTTTTGCTCCGTGGTTAGAGCCCCGGCCCTCAGACCAAAAAGTCGCAGGTTTAATTCTGGTCAAGGGCATGTACCTCGGTTGCAGTTCAGGTCCCCGGTCCTGATCCAGGTGGTGAGGGAGGCAGCCAACTGATGTCTCTATCGCATTGATGTCTCTCTCTCTCTCTCCCTCTCTCTCTCTCTCTCTCTCTCTCTCTCTCTCTCTCTCTCTCCCTCCCTCCCCCTCCCTCTCCCTCTCCCTCCCTCCCACTCTATCTTAAGATAAATGGAAAAATATCCTTGGGTGAGGATTTAAAAAAGAAAATATGGTCAGTTGAGGAGGAGAGGGAAACTCTCATTTAAATTAATTAGAGAAGGGATGAGGCTTCCATTCTTATCACTCATCTTCTTCCCTACCAAGATCCAGTTTGTGCGAGTCTGTTGGTGAAGTCTTCCTTGAACTCCTTGATGAGTAAGGTGGCTGTTTCCTCGGGCATCTCCTGGGCCTGTCTTTCTGCTGCTGTTCTTCTCATATTTGACTCGGCTCCCCAGTTTACTAGTCGAGCTCCTTGAGGGCCAGCACTGTGTCATGTTCTTAGTCTCCTCCCACTCACCTCTTTTGAGCAGTACACTGGCTAAATGTCAGAAGGGTGGGTGGGTACAGGGGTGAGAAGTGGACAGGAAGGTGGGTGAAGCAGGTGGGAAAATGCCAGGCACCCTTCCTGGAGCCCCAAAGAACATCAGGAGTTATATCACTAGCATTTAAAGAGAAAAGAAAAAGAAAAACACTTTCTCCAGAAATACTCTCATCTACCAATTACACAAACAGGTTAATAAAAGCTCTCATTGGAGAAGCCAAGGCCCACCTGCTTTCCTCCTTTATCACTTGCTCTTTGCTTGTGTTGGCTTTCTGGTAGACCTTGTTGAAGTGGAACCATTCAACAGTCTGAAGACTGGTAATTAGAAGTATGATTGAGGAGTAATGCTTTCTACAGATGACATAATTCTCAGTACCAGATGCTTACAGGTTCAAGGATGGGCCATGTAATTTTGTAATTTTTTGAGATATAGGATAAAATTTCTCATTGTTAATTTGTACACAGATAACAGAGTCTGACGATGGTTTCCTGCCACTTCCACTTTTGAAAAGTAGAAACGTATAAACCCTTTGAACGTTCAATGGAATGTTTTCAGATTTCTAAAAGCTCATAGACATTGTAAGGAAAAGGGAAATTACATTTTGAGATGCAAGTTTATAATTTATGTAACTTTGAACGTAAAGGTAATTTATTTCTTTCTGTTAGTGTTGAAGTCCTGAATCCTTTCTTCTATCTTACGTTATTTGCCAACCAGTCACATATTCTGTGCTAGAATCCTGAGTGCTGAAATGCAGTTGTATTCTGTGAATGGGCATATTGGTTAACTGACTCAATTGTAGCCATATAGAAAAGTTAGAACTGAATTTAAATCCAGGTTTTATCAGTTATCAGCTATGAAGCTTTAGTCAAGTAACTTAACCTTTCTGAGTTTTTATTTCCTCATCTGTAAAATAAGGATAATGTATCTTCTTCCATTAAATATAAGGTTCAGTGATAGAATTTGTGCAGACTACCTAGTATATAAACTTATATATAGTTGATATCAATTATATATGAGTTTTTTCTTCATTTGTTTTTGGCAACCTTTATAAAATTCCCACATTTACTCAGTTTAAATCTTTCTAAGCTTCCATTTTCTCATCTGTGAAATAGATATATTAACCATATCTGTGTTATAAGGATCAAATGAGAGCAGATATCTTCTGTCTTTCATTTACAGCTGCAAGCAAATCATACCAACCTACAGTCCAGATATGATGAAACAAAGAAGACACTAACAGAGGTGAGCAGATTTTCTTTCCTTCGTGGGCTTTCTTAAGAATCATTTTTGACCTGCACTATTAAGGGAATGCCGTGTATGGAGGGGCCATGATTCCCTTCTCAGGGCTGAGGTTCATTTGGGGGTGTAGGACAATCACATGACAGTGCCTGACCCATGTCATCAGTTTATCCATGCTTCATGTTCTAATCCATTGGTGATTTAGGGGGAAGAGATCACTGAGTGGGCTGCAAGGGTCAGGATAGGCTTCCTGAGGAAGGTGGGCCTGATAGGCAGGGGCGGGCCACACAGAAGAGCATGAAGGGTCATTCACAGTAAGTGACCTCTGAACCTCAAGCCATAAGTTGTAGTATAACTCCAAAAGACTGAATTCCATGAGAGTGAGACAGTTTCTGTTTGTAATACGAGAGAATCACAGTGATATAATTTGCTGTTCAAAATTACTGATCAAGCCTAGGTGGGATGGGGGAGGGGTCTCAGGAGGAAGAGAGAGTTTACTGGTATATTTTGAAGCATGCCATTCATTTTCTAATCCAGGTTACGAGTGTATCATCTCACATCATCATTAGGTGTTGCTTATCTCCCACATCTGATTGCCTGGGAAACCAGGCGAGGAAAACAAACGCCTCTGATGTCAGTTCTGTCCTGAAGGGAGTGAAATATTTCTGCCCTTTGAGTTCCCCTAGAACTACCTTCATCTGGATCAGAAAAGCTCTCATTGTGATTTGGGAGCTCTGGCTGTGGCTGTACTCCTCTGGGCCTCACTTCAAGCAACTTACCTAGTACTTATTGGACCTTGGGGAAACTGGACTGATCTTCAAAGACCTTTCTGAAATCAAACCAGTCCTTATTTTTTTTTAATTTCACATGAAGTTTGCTCATTTAAAATCCTTATATTTATAGCAATATACAGCATTTAATGAACCTGAAAACCTGACAAAGCTTTTTAGTTCTAACCTAGACTAGACTTCTATTATTGTCAGAATTTTTTAAAGGGGCAGTTAGAGTAAATTTTTAAAAAATTCTTTCTAAAGATGCCTGCATTGCGTTAGGATAGATCATCTTTCTTCCCATTCTTCTGTAATTATATTCCTTATGGATTTGATGGCAAACTCCTGGAGTGGAATTCCTGCTGCTGTCTTACTTTTAATGCTGCAGAGTCCTTAACATGAAGTTTGCCAAGTCATGGATCAATCTTTCTATAATAATCTGGTAAAGATAAAAAGCAAAACATCTTGATGTCAATTTTCTAAAACACGTACTTGCCTTAGGATATAAATGTTAAGTGGCTGTAAAGTGGCTTTTCATGCTGAACACTAAAGCAAGTATTTGTTGAGCCCCTTTCAGGTGCTAGAAAGGCAGATGTGTGATTTAAGTCAATAATAAAAGAGAATCTTCCTGTCAAATAATAATAGTGACCAGCATTATTATGTGCTGGATGTGCTCTGGGCAAGTCACTTGTATCAGTCCATTGAATCTTCCCAATAGCCCTAACAACACAGTTATCATCCCTGTTCTGCAGATAGGGACTAAGGCAGAATGGTCTTGCAAACCAGGCTGGTAGTTTGGCACCAAAGACCTCTCAGAGAGCTTACTTGTAGGACAGCCAAACTAATTCCCATCTACAAAAATGTTAAGCTCTACAAAACCTAGTTCTGGACTGGTTATGAAGAAGCCTAATTTGTCAGAATTCTGAAGACTGGGCCCCTGGGTTAATAATGAACTTCATGTTTAGGCCTCAGTCTCCTTATCTGTTGTAGGCAAAATGAGTGCTCTGAACCCTTTCAACCAGTATTCCCAGGTTTTACCTTTTCAGCAAAATTTGCCCTAGTGACAGTGAACAACAGGAGAGACCCATCTTTCCAGTAAAGTAGTAAAAGTAAAGCAGGGCTTGGCAGGTAGAGGACAGTTGAGCACATGACATCTGAGGGCAGGCTGCATACTACTGCAAGAAGGCCCAGAGACTGGCTGAGCCCTGCATTGCCAGCAGGTTCTAGCCTGTCCACTTTTTAATTTCAGCAATCACAACTTTAATTTTCTATGTGTGAGCTGATCCTTTTTAATATAAACAGTATCCTGCCCTGTGTCTCTAAGAGCATTAATTGTCTAAAGGTTTTCTTGACCTATAAACTATGTCTTCAGATCAGAATTCATGTTGAGTTGATACATCTTTTTATGGTTTTATCTTTCTTCAGATGTATGATAATTCTTGATGGTATGCCTATCTTTGATTCCCAAACTACCAACTGAATGGCTTCTGTATCCATTTTATGTAGTTTGCTTCATGTGATTATTCTGGAAGGGTGGGTCCAACTCTTTGGTGGGATTGGCCAGTGGTAACTAATGTTTGGGCTTGGGAAACTACCCCTTTCTCTTGGGAATTGTTGGCTCTGGGGCCTTACCCCACTTCTGACTCGAGCATCAGCTCTTGAATCAGCTCATGGGTTGAGGGCCATGTTGCTTAGCAAGCTGGCTATTTCTGATGCATACCCCAGCCCTGCAGACCAATTCTTTCAGTGTCTGCTAATTCCACACAGTAGGCCTCCTCTGTCCATTCCTGTCTGCTGGCCATCTTTCTTGTCCCTTGTTCCAACATAATAGTCTGGATTCTTTAGGACCTGAGGTAAGAAGAGGTTGCTGCAACTTGGGCTTGGTCTTTCATTTTCAACTAGAACTCTTGGAACTTTTTAAAAGTTGTTTGGGTTTTTTTAATAGGTAACACATTCACATAGTTCAAAATTCAAAAAGTACAAAGGGTGTACTCCTGTAACTCAACCACACAGTTACCTTCTCCAGAGGTAACTATAGTGTAGCAGTTTCTTATTAATCTTTCCAGAAGTACAAGTAACCTGTATATTCTTTTATACATGTGTACATTTAATATGTACATTCCTTTATACTAATTGGAAGCATATTATACTTGTGGTTTTTTTGTACCTAGTTTTCTTCGTGTAACAGTAGATATTAGAGATCATCATAAAAGCTGCATTATCTCATAATAAGTTAGTATTGTATTATATAACTGTATACTTTATCATTTATACATTTTTAAATTTATTTTTTATAAACTTCACTATTTGACTCAAAATGGAGGTGAAATTATTCAAGAAGATAGGTGATTTAACCCTGTTCCCTGTTAAATGCCATGATATTGGCATTCTGAAATTTAAACCTGGGTCTGTCTCTCCTAGCCATTCCTTTTATTTCCCGCTTCCTACTGAAAGGCATTTAACATTAATTTTAACTTTTTACCTATTTGCTTCTGGATTGAAAGTTGTTGCCAAGGTTTTATTAACAGCAGTATGTGTGAAGAAGGGTCTGGTTTTGGCCTTTCCATATGGTCCCTCCACCCCTGTTTTTCTTGTTCACCTGTTTTCTCAATGTACAGCTAAATCCTGTGTGCTTGGCCACCTGACAGAAGTGGAGTACAGGTGGAACCAAGGGGAAGGAGAATGGAAGCACTCGCTCTTCTCTATGCCAAACCCCTAGCAACAACGCCTCCATTCTCTCTTGCAGTTGAAGAGTTATAGTGAGAAACTGGACAAGGAACAGGCAGCCCTCGAGAAGATAGAATCCAAAGCTGATCCAAGGTAAGAGTTTTCAGCATGTGTTTATTTTCTCTTTGAAGAAAGTAACTTTGTCAGTTACTGGAGGCTTAATTAATTGGTTGGAACACAGGACTGAAGAGCCAGGGGTCATGCTTTTGTACAGGTTGGTTAATTTCACATGCCACCCAGAATGTGCCCATTGCTCAGGCAGGTGCTAAGATGTGCTTGGGCTGCCTTTTTTTCCCAATTGCCCTGGGGATCAGAAGCAGTATGTTTCGGGGTTTTAATTGATTTTTTATTTTTCTGCTTTTAAAAGCTAATACATTCACTGTACAAAAAGGCATATGGTGAAAAGTCTCCCTCTTCCCCTTTCCCCCAGACATCCAGTTCTCCTTGGAGTCAAGCATGGTTACTAGTTTTTAACAGCACTCACTTGAGCCATGTCTCCTTGGGAGTAAAGGTGCAATATTTTCTGCCAAAAATCAGCTGCTGGGTTTTTTTTCCATTTAAAATTAATTGTAGACAATTGAAATTATATAGAAGAAGCACTTATATTTGACGTTTTTGTCACCAAATTGTTTGGGTGGTAAAATCTCCTAAGTGTCTATCACTCATTTGGTTGAGATTGTGAAATCATAGAGCTTCAGGCCCAGATTGAGCAGTTCTGGGTTTGATGGACATTTTGGGAAGGAAGTACCCACAGCTTACTTGGCTTCATAATTAGAAACCCTTCTGTCATGACATGGAACAAAAGTACTGTTAGGTACTTGACATTTTTATTTTTAAAGTAGTGTGTTTAATGACCTTAAGCAACATGTTTCCTTTTCAGAATAGATATTAAAATTTTTTTACACTGTCTATGCATTGAGTACTATTGAACAATTGGTATTATTAAGTATACTTAGTACTCTGAAACTCATTGATGTTTCTGCAGTTGACATTTTAATTCTGGATTCTGTAATGTTTGTTTGATGTAGCCTGATGGACTTTGGCATATGAATGAATAATAATGTCAGTTAAATAATAGTAGTCTTAATAATTTGTGGAGAACTCATTAAACACTTGGGAGAGACAAATGAAATTAAAAGGGAGTCCTGTTTTAGCTAGGGACTTGGTTTTAGCTGTGATTCATAAAATCATAATGGCTTGCCATATGTCATATTGGTCTTTTCTTTTCAGTATCCTGCAGAACTTGAGAGCACTTGTAGCCATGAATGAAAACCTGAAAAGCCAGGAACAGGAGTTTAAAGCACATTGTCGAGTAAGTGTTGCTTGTTGTCAGCAGACATTAAAGCAGGACTCCTATAACATCTCTTGCTGTTCTTCCACTTGTCCTGCTGCGGCATCCTATCCAGGTGCAGTCAAAAGAGGAGATTCCTCAAGCAGTTATTTGTCAGTTGTGTAAAATGAATAGAGCACTGTGGTCGGTACCCTCCAAGGACACCAGGTGTGCCAAACCCCAGTGCTGAGAGCACAGTCTTACAAACAAGGTTTCTGATTTACAAAGGTATTTAAAAGAAAAGTCTTATCAAATATAAAGGAGTAACGTTATATAAAAGCAGCGATATCTTGAAAACTTAGGATGTCTGTTTGTCATGCACATAAGCCCTTGTTTCTGCCATCTGGGAACTCGGTGTCTAATAGTAGCGTGATGGGTGCACAAGTGCCCATGACCACGGTAGGAGGCAAGAGATGAGGCCCTGCAGGCTCTGTGTGTGTTCCGGGGAGGAGAGGCCAGTCCGGCACAGGAACCATCTGGAAGCTGGATGTGAGGGTGGCAGGTGGAAGGGCGGGGCTAGTGAGGCAGGGCTCCAGCTAGAGGGTGTCAGAAAAGATGGACAGGCTTATGGGGAAGAGGAAACAGAAGGCTGGTTGGAAGTAGGTTCCATGCCACCCATTCATTTCATTCTCCAGTGATGACTGCGTACTTCACCTGCCTTTACAAAGAAAGGGCCTTCTGAAGAACAGCTGCCTGTAGCCTCCTGAAAAATTTTCCAGGCAGAAAACCAGAGATCAGGGCAGCTAGTTCCTAACAGACTTTTTGTTTTAGCGTAAACTCACAAAATGTGAAAATAAGACTCTGGATCAAGTTAAAAAATGGCATCCAATTTCTAGCTTGTCCAAGATTTCTAAATATTTGTATCACTTTTGAAGGAGGAGAAGACACGACTACAGCAGGAAATTGAAAACCTGAAAGCTGAGAGAACAGGTGGAGAAGAAAAGGTAAAGGCCCTGCAGTCCTCAAACTGAGGTGCTGTTATGACTTAGTCCGCAGAAACATTCCTAGAGGACTGACCAGCAAAAGGACTGGCTGAAAAGGATGGATTTCCTTAACCTGGTCCTCTGAGTACACATTTCCCAGCTGGTTTTATCACATGATTTTTTTAGATTTCTATTCCTCTCCTTTCTCTTCTGTCTGGGTGGATGAAAAAGCAGCACTGGGTGTGGACGGCAGCCACTCCAGACGACAATGACCCTATTACAAGGCTTCCTTCTTCCTCCTTTAGGGAAGGGGTGCTTTTCAGGAACCACCTGGGCTCTACTTCCCACTCAACCTAGTCTCTAAATTTGGTACCAGTTTACTCCTTTCACCCCCCATTCCTGCTTAGGGACATGCCCACCCTTGAAAGGCAGCGCTGAGCAGGAAGCAGGTGCAGTGCCGGGTTGGTGTCAGCTCCAGCAGTGCAGAGGCCTTCTGCACTTAAGGGCTCATCTGCTCTCTGAACACAGACCGAGGCTCCTGAGGAACTGGTGTGGCTTTCCAGCAAGTATTAAAGTATAACACAAGGACAGAAGAGTCTTCTCTCACCAGTATAAGGGTTGTGGTGTTTTGTTTTTCCTGCCCACACTTGATTCAAAGCTTATTTCCTGAGCACCCCTGTATTTGGATATGAGAGTTGGACATGGCCTCAGAATTCATTGATTGCACCATCTCTCTTGTAAAAATGGGGAACTTGAGGCTCAGGGAAGGGAAGAGACTTGTGCAAGCCAACAGGCAAGAGTGTACTCTCCTGCCCCTTAGCTTAGGGACCGAGAGGGACACTGCCACACTCGGAGGGGAGACCCCGCCTCCCTGGCGTGTCACACCACTCTTCCTGCCTCTGAGAAGGGGGAATAGCAGTCCAGTGGTGTCCTGGGACCATGATCACACGGCCTGCCTCTCCTGTTGTTTCTAAAAGTTTGATCCTTTGAGTCTCAAATTGTCAGTTCAGTCAGCTTCTGAGTTTGCACACATCATAGACTTTTAGGATCCCATTTCTCTTCTCAGCAATCACATCTTGTTAGAAGAATTATTACTCACATTCAAAGACAAGGTTAGCCTATTTTTGTGTAACTGAAAGACATTTAAGAACAATTCTGTTCCCTGACCAGACATGGTTGTGAAGTCTCCCACCCCACCCCTTCCTGCGTCTAGACCCTCAGCTTCTATTGTATTCGCCTTACTCAGAAGGTGTTTCTTACTGTTCACCATTTCAGACCCTCTCCAGTGGAGAGCCAAAGGATGCCCTCCCCGCTGTGATGACTCATAATGTAAGTACCTGCCCATTGTCAGGAATGCCAGTGTTCTCTGCGGGTGTGGTGATCAGCTTTACACTCCCGTGACAGTTTCTCATGCCTACTTTAATTTTCTCTACGGCCGCCACCTCATCTGAGGGGCATTGGGAGCATTACCCCATTTTACACACTGGGCCCTTCTGATGGAGACAGGATCTCACCCAGGACAGCCCTGAAGGCCACCATCTGGGGAGGGTTTCTTCTGGCACCGTTTGCAGGTGTGCCATCTTTACTCTGGCATCTCAGCTGAGGAGAGGCCTGCATTGCTCATACATGCTGATCATAGCCCATAGCTTCTGAGGCCCACTGGGGTGGTACAGAGGGAAGGACCCCTTTCTTTATTGCTCTACATTCCAGGGTCAACAAACTGTAAAGGACCAGATAGTAAATACTTTTAGCTTTTTGGGCCACTCCACTGCAGTGATCATAGTCAATATGTAATTCAAAAGATGTGACTGTGTTCCAGGAAAACTTTGCTTACAGAAATAGCCAGAGAGGTGGATTTGGCCAGGCTGTCAGATTTGGCTCTTGGGCTACAGTTTGCTGAACCGTGTGCTGAGTTAAACTAGTGCTCCCTGGACTCCAGCACTCCAACAAACCTCCAGGGGAAAGAGAAAAGGGAGAGGAGGAGGGAGAGAGAAGCAGGGAAGCCTCTAACCATTTGCCTTCTTTAGGGTTTCTCTTCCCTTTGTGCCCTTAGAAGCTCCTAGAGAATGAGCTTCAGGACTTACATGGTGAAGTCTGTAGGTCTGCCTGCAGCTGAGCCCTGTGGAGGAGACTGTTGTTTCTCTCTCCTTCCATGTGTGTGCTTGTGTGTGTGTGTATGCATGTGCACGCATTGGGGAAGGGGGCACTTCTGACCCCACTGTAGCTTTCTCTTACTCAACAAACCATCTAGCCATTGTCTCTTACCTCATTGGGTCAGTGAACTGGCTAGATTCTCTCTCAATTCAGTGCTGTCCAAAAGGATTTTCCTCAGTGGTGGGAATGTTCTGTGTATACACTGTCCAATATGGTAGTCACATATCACTACTGGGCACTTGAAATGGGGCTAATGCAACTGAGAAACTGACTTTTTACATTTTTAGTTAATGTAAATTTAGATAACCACATGTTGCTAGTGGCTAGTGTATTGGACAGCGCAGCTCCAAATAGAAACATAGAAAACATAGAAAGCAAACCAGCATCACTTCCAACACAGAGGCACAGGACAAGGGGTCCTTTAAGTCACAATTATCTCCTCTTCATAGTTTGTTTTTGGTGGCGGGTGGGGGGCAGGAAGGGCACATGGATTTGAGGGATACTTAAGAACACTGGGTTCAGCATGGATCCCAGAAGAAGGAAGAATTGTTGTTATAAAGGAATGTTAAAGAATATCAAAGGTTTCTCATGACATAGGACCCAGACCCTAAACTTGACCATTTGAGGAAATAAATTTGTGGCCTGGGGATGGGGGAGAAAAGATAAAAAGCATTCAACTTCAAAAGACTTCATCAAAGAATGAAAGTTTTCTATTCCCAGATAATTGTGTTCTCTTTCAATTATTAGGAAGACCTAGACAGACGATATAATATGGAGAAAGAGAAACTTTATAAGATCCGTTTACTACAGGTAAGTAAAAACAAGAAGACAAAAATACATAAATGCATCTAGCTAGGTACAAATGTCCTATAGCAGAACTGAAAGGTGCCAGCCTCTGAGAACTAGAGAGACTCAGTACTGAGGCAGCTCTTTGCTACCCTTCTCTCTGGGGGTCACTGCAGTAAGATCATAAGGGGCTGAGCCAGGGCAGGGTCGGTGGGGTGGACAGAAGTAAGCTGTTGGGAGAGATTGAGAAGCTGTATCTGATGGAATTGATTGATGGGTAAGAGAAGAATAGGAGTCGGGGTGGTGCTCTGATTTCTGAATTAGGGAGTAGGATGGATACCTGTGTTATTCATTGAGAAAAAGCATTAAAGGAGAAAGAATAGGGCCAAAGGGGGTGGGGGGGGGTTGTGACTAAGCGTTAATGAGATTTGTGGCTTTTAAAGGTTGGGGCACTCAACTGTGTAGAAATGTCCAAGAAGTGATGGGTATTGGGTGTGATACTCAGCATAGTCTGGCCTGGAGATCAGGTGTCAGCACTGTGTAGGTGATCATTGAGGCTATGAAAATGTAGGCCAAGAAGAGACCCTGGGACTAAACCCTCTAAGAAGAGGCCAAGGAGAAGCAGTAATCACAGATGAGGGTTGAAATCAAGTGGGCAGCTGAAGGTGAGGAAAATATGAGCCCCAGGTCTCGTGGGAGCTGAGCAGAGAGCTCGTAGAAAGAATGGTAAATAACATTGCTAGAAGTCAAGAAAGCTAGAAGCTTAGAACTTCCCATTAAATGTATCCCAGAAAAGATGTGCAATGACATTGGCAAGAACAGTTCCAGTGGGGTGTTGAAGAAGCCAGTTGGAGCGTGGAGTGAAAGATGACTGGAGGGGCGTAGGGAATTAGAAGAACATAGGGTGTGTGGCTTTCAGGAAGTTTGGCTGTTCAAAGGAGGAGAAAGGCTGGTAGCTGAAGCATGATCAGGGTTTAAGGAAGGGCTTTTTACTAACGAGTGAGGTACTTGAACGTATTTGAGTACTGATGAGAAGGAGCCAGTAGAAAGAGGTTAGCGATATAGTAAAAAGAATGAACAATTGTATCTGTAGGTTCCTAAAATAAAAACAGGAGTCAGAGCCTGAGCACCCATGGGGGATGTAGCCTTGTCCAAAAGGAGAAATACATCTTTCCTTTGTACCAAAGTGGATGGTGGGCTTCTCATTTGGAGGTTCGTCTTTCCCCAGTGATTTAGGATCCACATCTGCCTGGGAGCAGGACAGGGAGGCACAGAGAAGAGGCAGCCCCAGAGCCCAGTTAACCCTAAGACTGGAAATGTGTGATGGGAGCTGAGCGACTTCCTCCAGGCAGCTGCCCTGCTGGGGAAGTTGATGCTCGGAGCTGCCTGCCTCCGGAGCCTACACTGTCCCCTGCCCCACACCATGCTACTGTGCCTCCCCAGATGCAGTCGAGAGGCACTTGACCAATATACCCCAACCCAGGGTAGAGAGAAAATATTTAGCTTTCAACTGTGGGAGCTTTCAACCAGGCTAAGGGATTTGGAATTTATGTGGAGGCAGCAAGGTGGCATCAGTTCCTTGTCACCTGGTGCTGGTGGAGTTACCTACTCCAGAGTCCTTTGGGCCTGGTGGGCTAGCTGGGTACTCTGGCCACAGAGCCCATCCCATTCAAAATCTTCCTTCCTTATCCATTAATTTGATGCCTTCTGTGGTTCCAATTCACAGCCACACCTTCTCCATATATTGCAAAATCGGAATTTGAGATAGGAACCTCAAGCCACCTCAAGCAGAATTTTGGGCCTGCATTCCAGAGCATGTGGTTGTGCTTTGAGTGGGTGGTGGGAAATGTTTTGGCTCCCCAGAGATCATGTAAGGCCTTTTACCAAATAGTGTTGTCTCCTCTCCTTTGCATTTAGGCTCGAAGAAATCGAGAAATAGCAATTTTGCATCGCAAGATTGATGAAGTACCCAGCCGAGCCGAGCTAATACAATATCAGAAGAGATTTATTGAACTCTACCGTCAGAGTAGGTGCATTGACACTAATGAACTCTCGAAGCTGGTCCTGGGAGGGACTGGAGGAGAGGGGCTTTGTCCTACTTCAAGATAGTGGAGCGAGCATCACAGCACAGTCCATGAGAGCAACCACTGGAAAGGGCTCCTTTTTTTGTCAGGACCACTGAGTACTCATTCTGCATAGCCCTGGTGGGTAACTCATAATCCCAGGAGCAGTACCAAGGTGCTGTTACTGTTCTCGGACACTTAGTGTTCTCTCCGCGAACAGTTGACTCTAGTTGGGCTCTTACAGAGGAATGTTTTGAACCAGCCCTCATCCCACTCAGCTTCCTGTCCATTTTCCTGCATTACACAGCATTGTGACCCCATTATCTCTAGATCAGTTCTCACTCATTGTCCTTCTCCTCTGTGGACTTTCTGGCTTATATGGTCCTTGCCTTTAACAACCTTGTATTTACCCAGTAATCCAGGACTGGATCTCCCTTGGCCTGAATCAGTGAGCACATCTTCTCAGGCTCATATTGGCCCTTAAAGCTTCATTGCCTCTCTGTAATACTGCTACTGCCATATATTTTTGTCTTATTTGCATCACAGCTCAGCTGAATGACCATTAGCTGGTCTGCAACCCCTTCTGCAAGTCTCTCATCCACACATCTGATTGTGTCGCTTCTTTATCTGCTGGAAAATCTTCAGGAGCTCCCCAGGGCTTTCTAAATAAAGCCTCTCCTATTCTTTTTAGGATCCTCCCCAGTGTGGCTGCTGGGGGAGCCCCTTTCTGCTCTGAGTCCACACTCTGCCTCAGTATTCCACACACTGCCCCTGAAAACACCATGCACTTTGACACCTGAGGCCTCGACCCCTACTGTTACCTGTGTCTTCTGGGATCTGTTCTTCTTTGACAAAATCCTTCAAGACCCAGCTCAGATATCCTCTGTGAACAGGTCCTGGACCATCACCCCTTTCTCTAGGCTCCCACTGGACACCCCAAACTCTACTGCCCCCTATCCCATTTTACCTATTGGTCACTGGGATCACTGTCCAGCCAGGCTAGGTGGGCCCTCAGTCCACTCTGACTCATGCTGCTCTGCCTGCTCCATTTCTGAGTAATGGTCAAGTCTGTTCTTCTGGGACTTCTGTAGCCACCCTCTCATCACTGCCCGGAGTCTGACCCCATCTCTGCACTTCTGGAAGATCTTTCTCAAACAGAAATTTAATCATTTACACTCTTGCTTTAAGAGCTCTAACATTAAATAACTCGCTATAACTTGTGGGATAATCTTCAAAATCCTAAATGCACTGATAAAGTCCTGCATCATTTAGACCAGAGTCATCGGCTGGCTTCCCCCACAGTCCCTTGGTGCCTCTCCTTTCTCAGGAGGGTTTCTGAGTCCTGGCCTGTGAGCTGGTCCTCAAGGCCAGTTGCCACTGCCCTGCAGTACCCACTTGACAAACTTCAGCTCTTCTTTTACATCCACCTAGATTTTACCTTGAGAACTTGGCCTCTCAAGCGTGTTCCTGGTTCATGCTAGAGCACTATCCCTACTGGAGCCCAGAATCATGCTTCCTTTCCCATGTCTTACCCCACCATCCTGAGGTCACAGTCTTCACATTGGATCCAGGTGCTCTGGTACGGGTGGCAACAATGGCAGTTTCTCAGCAGAAAATAGCTTCTTCCTTTAAGTTAAATCTTTTTCCTTAATGTTCTCCCTGCCTACTTTAAAACTTTTAACAATAAGAAGTAATAATTCCTTGTATATATATATTTCACAGAGTAAATTTTAAATGTTAAGATCATTTTGATAGGACATTTTTACACCAAAGACATTTTTAATCAGTTGTACCAGAATATCTACATCATTTTTTTTTAAATTATCATCAAATACCTGCATTCCCCACCCAGTCCTTGACCTGGTTGGAGTAAGGGTGACAGCTACATTCCTAAGCAATAAAGCTGAAAGTTGACTGGTGTATTTATAGTGGTGAGTTTCAATTTTGGCCACCCATTGTCATCACCTAGGCCTTGCCCCCAGAAAACCTTATTTAATTGGTCCTGGACTTTAAAAGCTCCTCGGGTGATTCATTTTGTCAGCTAGGATTGAGTACCACTGTTCTAAAGCTTTTAGCAATAATAATAGTACTTTATATTGAGTAGTTTATACTGTGATTTTTATTCAAATTACACATTTTGATGTTGGGAACATTTGTACTGTTGCATCAAAATACTTGTATCAGATTATTAACTTCTGTTACCAGATATGTTCAGCAAATTTCCCCAACCTTCACCTGTCTTTGAGCTGTACTGCTAGAGGGAAACACAGCTCTTACAGGATATAAAAGTTAAAAGTTGACTATTTTAAAGAATCACATTTAAATGTTAATGGTAGTTGCCCTGGGAAACCAGAATTGCCCAGCCTGCTCTGCCTCTCTCCTCCCCAGTTGTGCTGCTCCAGAGGGAACCTGCCTTCAGGGAACCAGACACCATGACATGAAAACCAGACCCCATTGGTCATGCCTGCTAACCACTCACCATCAGGATCTTTAGCAACAGCTACCCTGGAGTGCTCAGTTTAGGCTCAAAGCCTAGCTGTGAACCCAGGTCTTGGGATTTTCTCTCTCTGGGTGGCTGTATGTAGTGGGAATTTAGAGCTTGGTGAGGAGGTCATATAGGCTCAGAGCTCCGTGGGGCTGCCCAGCCACCCAGCCAGAGAGGAAGGGATGAGTTTGGGTGGGAAGCTTTCACCTCAGAGACCTCCTCTGGTGAACACGGCACACTCACAGTCCTGGAATTTGGCCGTTTCCTAACAAGTCATTCTTCTCTGGGGCAAAGTGAAGAAGGGGAGGTGGGCAGAAATGCAGAATAATTTTGTGGGTAAAGATGTTGGTAGCCTAGCCCTGGCCGGTTTGGCTCAGCGGTTAGATTGCCGGCCGGCAGACCAGAGAGTCCTGGGTTCGGTTCCCGCCAAGGGCACATACTTTGGTTGCAGTTTGTCCCCGGCCCCAGTTGGGGTTGTGTGGGTGGCAACCACTCGATGTGTCTCTCTCACATTGATGTTTCTCTTTCTCTCTTCCTCTCTCTCCCTCCTGCTCTATCTGAAGATAAATGCAAAAATGTCCTCGGGTGAGGATAAAAAAAAAAAGATTTTGGGAGCCCTGGTAAATAAGTGCCTTCTTAGTCGCATGCACAGGATGGAAAGAGAAGTCACATTCATTAGGCATATGTTCTGCCCTGGGATAGGCATGTCATTCATCTAGGAGGTATTTTAGAGGGTCTGCTAAAGAGGCCTCTGCTAACCATGGGAGTTACAGAAGTGAACAGGCTGTGGCTCCTGCTCTTGGGGGTGTAGGAAGGAAGGGAGCCACACAAACATCAGAGGTTGCATGGTGGCTTCACCATCTTTGCCACCTTCCTCCCAGGACTCCTCACCTGAGGGACTCTGAGAAACCCACATCTGACAGGGAGATTCCTCAAGCCCCTCCTCTTGGCCGGACCAGGTACAGCTGGCTGTGTGCCATCAGCCTGTAGCACCTCTGCACAGGCTTATGTACCCTGGGTGGCTTCTGCCCAGACTGCAGGTCCCGAGTGCCAACTGACAGGTCCCACTGTCGAGGGGGTGCCTCATGGGAGAGGGTGCTTAGGGTTGTTTTGATACATTTTCTTATTCATGTGCTGATTTCTTTGCATTTACAGTTTCAGCAGTACATAAAGAAACCAAGCAGTTTTTCACTTTATATAATACCCTGGATGATAAAAAGGTTTATTTGGAAAAAGAGGTAAGAACTTTTATGAAAAGGAAATACTTAGTCAAATGAGCAGCTACCAGCGCCGTTGACCCAGGAAATTCAAATGAACTTGGTGTCTGAGATGCATCCAGTTACAGTGGAAGGAGTGCCTGTTGTATGCGCAGTGCTAGGATAGTCAGCAAGTGCAAGATTCCCTGGGAGCTCACGTTGTCTGGGGTGGAGTGAGGCTGGGGACAGCTGTCTCAGTGCAGGCAAGACATGCCATCATTAAGGGAAACACAGTAGAAGCTCACAAGGTGCGTATGGAGGGGTCCTGGAGTTGGTGAAACTTTAGTTTGAATTTTAAAGGAAGGAACCAGCTAAATGAAATGAGGATGGTGGACTTGTCATCATTTACACAGGGAAATGTCTGTTTAATTATCAGTAGCAGACAGAAGCATAAACTGAAAGGATCATAAAAAGCATGAGTGAAAAGGGGTTCACATCCCCTTCATAATGCTCTCAGGTAAATCCATTCGTGATTCAGGACTCCCCAAGTTGGATGACAAATGATTGAGGCAAGTGTGCAACTACGTTTAAAAAGACACAGTATTTGCCCTGACTGGTTTGGCTCAGCGGTTGGAGCATAGGCCTGCAGACCAGAGAGTCCCAGGTTCAGTTCCCACTAGGGGCACATCCCCCCCCCCCCCAAAAAAAAATAATAAATAATAAAAAAATAAATAAAAAGACAGTACTGGTCTTCACAGTAGCAGCACAGTGTGGTGGAGAAAACATGCGCTTTGGAGTCAGACAGATTTGGATTGTAGACAGGCCTCATATCCTCTCCAGAAAAATGGGGACACACCTTCATAATTATGATGGGAACAGAATGTGAAAAATGTGAACTTCCTTGCTCATGGTGGTTTTCAATACGTACATAGAGTTCCTGCTTACCCCTCCCTTCGAGGTTGATAGAATTTGTTTTCATTTTATCACCTTGCAGTCTGCACTGATTGCTGCTTTGATACGAACTATATTACAGATGTATCTTTACATGAACCCACATGGAGGCATCTCTAATTGTCACCTTTATTGCCTGTTGTTAATCAAATGAGATAAATCTCTCTCCTCCTAAAGGGGCTGTCCTTGAGGAGGGCTGAGTTCTCCTTTTCTCTGTATCCAGGGTTTTGCACAGTGATGGGTACATATGGGCATTTGATAAATGTTTGGATAGATGAGTTGAAAGCCTTTGGTGGGATAACTCTGCTACACGTCCTAGCCTGGGGGTGGGGGTGGGGGTGGGGGGAGTCTTTCTACCTGCCATGGGAAAGACTTGCTAATCCTGCCCCTTCTACAAAAGCCTTAAACCCATTGACCTTCCTTTATTAGCAGTGTCTGAAATCGGTGCATACTTTTAAAAACCAAGAGTATGCAGGGAAGTAAGGGCTTTTTAATTCCAAGCCATATTAACACAGAACTTTGCATTTGAAAAAATTATGCATTTTATTCCAAATCTATTTATGCCTATGATATTTTAGCTGGTTTTTTTTCATGTGACTTTCATCTCCTTAAACAAGGCGTGCTCTTTCAGAAGTGCTGTCCAGAACAGGACAGGCTTTCAGTGTTGGGGAAGCACAGAGATCTTTCACATTTTTGCTTATAGTTTTTTCTTTCTTCCTCAGATTAGCCTGCTGAACTCAATTCATGAGAACTTCTCACAGTGAGTACTGCAGACTGTCAGCCCCCTACCATGGTGAGCCCTGCACGTCATCGGCTCACTTGGTGCTGCAGTAGTGCAATGGAGCAGACAGTGCTCCATGTGTGGTTCTGACACCTTCACCCCTGCTGCCAGTGCAAGGCACATGGCCCTTGAGTTCTTGCAGAAGCACAGTGATATTAGAATGAATTTTAAAAAACACCAAGGAGCCCAGCCAGTGTGGCTCAGTGTGGTTGAGCATCGACCCGTGCACTTAGAGGTCACCGGTTTGATTCCGGTCAGGACACATGCTCAGGTTGTGGACCCGATCCTCAGTGGGGGGCATGCAGGAGGCGGCTAGTTGATGTTCTCTCTCATCGGTGTTTCTCTCTCTCCCCCTCTCCCTTCCTCTCTCTCTAAAATCAATAAAAAATAAAAAAAATAAAAAAAACACCAAGGAATATTGTACAGAAAAGTTAACTTTCAAATAAGTTGACTGTGCCTAACTGGTATAATTTCATTGTATATTAGATAATGTCATTTGTTCTTGAGGACATAGAGATGTTTTAAAATTTCAATAATGAAATAAGCTATATAATATTTTTTAATCTTCACCCAAGGATATGTTTTTATTGATTTTAGAGAGGAAGGGAGAGAGAGAGAAACACCGATGCAAAAAACATCAGTTGGTTGCCTCCCATATGTGCCCCTACTGGGGATCAAACCCACAACCTGGGTGTGTGCCCTGCCCGGTAATCGAACCTGCAACTTTTTGGTGCACAGGACAATGCTCCAAGCAATTGGCCCACCTGGCCAGAGCATGATCTATATAATTTTTAAAAGATTTTTTAAAATCTTGTGGTAGATTTTGTTTTTAAGTTAATATGCATCCTCTAAACTGCTTTACTCAGATACGAATTTTTTTCCAAAAATTGGGCGGCAAAGTCCACCTGTACCAAAATCATACCAGCCTTCAGGCATCCATACCCACTGGCCCACCCACCATCCAGGCAGCCCCAGGGCCTGCTGTCTGTATAACAGGCTTCCTTTCCTTCCAGCACAAATCTCTGCTGTCCCCTGACAGATGACCAGTAATTTAAGATCTTAATAGATCAAAAGCTCTAGATTTTAAGCTTTATTTCTAATTAAAAAGACTCATCGCTCTCTGCTAAGATTCAGTTAGTGACTTACAACCTTGTGATGTTTCTAAAAATGGTGCCTTCATCTCTGTTTCTTGACAATTGAGAGGGCCTGTAGCCTGAGTGTTTTTGTGATGAGCACTGTGGCTCTTCTTAGAAGAATCCCTAATCCTGGTATGCATGCACGCTGGCCCTCTGGAACTGGGGGTGGGGGAGTGTTTGAGGGCACCAGGGAAGCTATCATGTAGCTGCTGCTTCTAGAAAAAGGAGCAGGTTTCCCAGCCTGGTTTTAGGAAAACCTCAGAGTATGTCTACTAATGTTGAACAGTATCTCCCAATCCTCAGATTTTTAAGAACTAAATAAAATATTATTTCTTAAGCAATACTTACTATCATTAAAAGTAAATGTTTTTGTTAATTTTAGTGATATTTTACTTTAATTTAAAAAAATACATGTTACTGAAGAAAATTATAGGAAAAATGAAGAAAATATTAATATTCAGTTATAAAACAATTTTTATGCTTTCCTCAGAGTTTAGAGTTCTTAACTGCCTGGGATCCCTAGGTTCCCCATGGGTCCACTTGCATAGGCCTCGTTGGCATCTGGGTACCAGGCTGACTCCGTGGCACCGCCCCCTCCTTCAGAGTCCTGTGTGCTGGTCACACCTCCACTGGTTTTCCTTTCAGAGCCATGGCTTCCCCTGCTGCCCGGGACCAGTTTTTACGCCAGATGGAACAGATCGTAGAAGGAATTAAGCAAAGTAGAATGAAGGTTAGATGCCTTTTTTGTGTAAGGCGGGTTTTATACTGGTGATGGAGAAGAGAGGGCACTGGGAAGAACGGGCTTCTTCTGGTTGTTCTTGGTAGTGTGCTCTGGGTCTCTGCAGGGGCAGGGCCAGCTCCCAGGGCCTCCTGCACTGCTGGCCCAAAGGCAGCCCTTAGCGGTAGCTCCCACGATTGAACACCTTCTTTGTGCCCAGCTCTGTGCTAATCCTCTACAGCCCTTCGAAGTGAGAGGTGTACACCCAGGTACAAATGAGGAGACCAGCTTTCCTTTCTTGCCCAGAATCACTTCCTCACTGCATCCTGAGTTTCTGACATTCTGCCGTTAGAAACTGATTCCTTTGGCTCTTAAGATTAAGAGCATTGTAGTTTTTAGGAACCTCCTATAAAAATTTCCAACGGTTGCTGAACTGAATTTTACTAAAGTGAGAGGATATTGAATGCCTTGGAAGTCAGAGTAGAACACAGAGGAACTGAAAGGGGGGAGCCCCAGAGGTAGTCTTGCAGAGAACCATCCCATCTGGGCATGGCGCAGGGTTTCCTCATCATGGCTCTGTATGTGGGCCCTTTTGTCAGTAACTAAGCAGACTTGCTGACTGTTGATAAGCCAGACACAGCTGCAGTTTCTACTACTGTACCAAATGAATCCTCACTACTACTTCCAAGTGTCTCTTGCTTCTGGTCCTGTTTAAAAAGTATATCACAACAGAGCAGTCCTCCAGCAAGGCAGTAAAACCTCCTGGAGACTTAGGTATCTCCTGTAATGATCTTGGGGCAGAGTGGTCCAGTAAAGGAAGCCAGAATGTAAACAGATGAAAGAAAGGGTTGCCTATGGGACCTGTCTTCATAAAAACCCACTCACAAAAGATAAAAATCCAGGCCACCTATACTCTAATCTCACAGATGATGAACTGAGGGCGAAATCTTTCCATATCCTTCTCCCTGAAATGGAACAAAAAGTTAAAATGGAACAGTTAATACCCAGTGATGGGAAAATGTCAAATAAGTAGTCTCTATGCAATATCATACAAACAAATAAACCAACCTCAAAAATGGTATAAAGAAGGAAAATACTAGAAGGAAATCCATGAAAATATAAGTAATAGTTGCCTTTTGGATGTTGCCAACAGCCCCAAATCAGAACATGCCTTACCATTTCCTAAAAATGTTTCAACAGATGGAAAAGAAGAAGCAAGAGAACAAAATGAGAAGAGACCAGTTGAATGACCAGTACTTGGAATTGTTGGAAAAACAGAGGCTGTATTTTAAGACTGTGAAGGAATTCAAGGAGGTAAGAAAGAGGTTGGTCTGCGCATGTTCAGCTTGGGGGAGTTTTATGTTCACCTCCAGATTAGCCTTAAAAACCAGAGCACTTCATTGGTTTTTGCTGGTCTGTGATGGGCAGCAGCAGGTTGGCAATGTGATCTGACAGTGTAGTGTGGCATCTGGGTAGAGCAAGATTGATTGTTCTGAGGCCATCTTGAGGCTCTAATGGAATGTTCCAAGAGACATCGCATCTTTTTTCATTTTCCTAACACTTGATAAGCACATTAAATTTATAAAATGGCATCATCAACCCACCACAAGGACCACCTACTCAGATCTAGAGCTTTTCCTCCCCTCAGTCTGTGATGAGAGTGTAGGAAGAGAGTGAGCTTTAAAGTGTGCCAGGCTTGGGTTGGAATCCTACCTTTACCACTTACCAGCTGTGCCCTTGGACAGAGACTTAGTCCCTCCAAGCTTCAGTTTCATCATTGGTGGTTTCTGTTGGGTCAGTTGAAAGATAATGGTATCTAGCACTATGTCTGGCACCCAGGACACCCAACAGTTACTGAATTTCATTTGTCCCTGTCTTTTCTTCCCTGCATTTGGTCAGGGTTACTCTCTATTATTCCAGAAAAAAATGTGCTTGCCCTTTACTTAAGAGATCTTCCAGAAAGGAGACTGTTTTGGTCACTTTCCAAGATCTCAGCAGCTTCATTTCCAGGAATTTCTTTCCCCCTTCTAACCCAAATCCATGTGGTTTGAGTGAGTTTAGAGGTCGCTGGAAATACAGAGGCACTAAAGATAAGTTGTATACTGGAGTTTGGTCTATAGAATAAAAAATACATAATCTTTCCATACCAATAATTTTGTTTTTGTATATTTTAAGACCTTCTTGTATATTTCCTTCCCTGCCTTTTCTTATCTACTTCTTCCTCTTTTTGTAATTTAACTTTTGGGAGCCACAGCCCATAGGCATTTCAGAATCTTTCAGCTCTTCACTAAATGTTCTTCCAGCTCCTACCACACCCCTGGGGATGTGTCAGGTTGTAAAACTACCCAGTCAGTTCCTGTGTCAAGAAGCTTATGTTGGGATGGGGCAGACAGATGACAAGCAAGGAGACAAACAAACACTAATAAACTAGTAGTAGCAAATACTTAATTTCAGCCTTTCCTGTGGAGAAACTAATGTACATGTTGTGGTCAGGGACAGTCCCTCAGTTTGGAAGGACTTGGCCATGGGCAGAGCAAGAGGCCTTCGGCCAGGGGGCAGGCAGATGAAGGGCTGAGGCTGGGCAGCATGAGAGGGTGACCGGGAGAGGTGCTCCAGTGTCAGAAGGGCCAGTGCGTGAGCTGGCAGGGAGCAGGCAGGGACTTCTTCCTTTTAATTCAAGTAACTCACAAAGAAGGCCCAGAGGAGAAGAATTACATTTCAAATGTAGCTCAGACATGCCAGCACTGCCCTTTTGACAGCAGAAACAGAAAACAAGTAAGTTGGGGAGGATACGTATATGTTGTCAAAATCAAAGTAAATAGAAGTGAAATGGAAAAGTTCTTTCTTGCACTACAGGCCCTCGGGGCTGAAGACTTAGGTTGACCTCCAGAGGAGATGGTTTCTTCAGACAAAATAAGCATCAAGGTTCTGTGTTCCCAGCTCCTCGGACATAGTTACTCTCACAGCAGACATGCAGGGTGGGTCCTTCCTAGGCAGGGAAGACCCCTACACCGGGTGCTTGCCGTGCCCAAGTATCCTTCAGTCCAAAGCAAGTTGGAAAAAAAGGGAGGAGAAATGTAGTATGTTCTTCAGACAATTACATTTTTTTTTTTAATTTAAAGGCCTCACCTTTTTAAAAAAACAGCATGCCTTTTTGTTTTTTTGATGTCAAAATTGTCTTCCTCTTATAAAATAATGTTGATAGTGCGGTGTTCTTTTTTTTGTTGTTAGCATTTTACTTGGCAAAAATTTTAAATTAGCAACCCTGTGTCAGTGTTCCCAAACCTTACACTTTCTTCCACAAGCTCCTCTGAGGTGATCTGGGGCTACCACGGGTGTTAAGGAGGAGGTGGTGATGGTGGCTTGCTTGCTGCTCCCAGGCCCCTCCCCATACCTTCAGCCAGAATAATTCTGATATTTTACATGTTGCAGTTCCAAATAAGATCTCATTTGTAGTAGAAAACCAGTTTGAAAAGTTGGACTTTCATTCCAGGGTGGAGCCTTCTCCCAGAACCTTCTCTCTCCTGCCTCCTTTACCTACCTCTTCCCCTCATGGTTGGTCTTCTGCTCCCGAATTCTGAATTCCCACCACATTCTGGGCCCAGCACTTGTGCTGAGCAGTAATGACTCATCACGCACCTTCATAGTTCTCTTTATTGTGTGGTTTGCTCCACATTAATTGAGCACCAGTGAGGCGCCATGGGCACCATATAGGTACAAAGTCATGCCCTCGTCCTGACTTCCAGCCTCCTCTGGTATCAAGACTTTGATCTGAGACATGAGGTTATCTATGAAATTCCAATGTCTGGCTCACCCTGGGAGAGTTTGTTAATAACAAGTCTGCCGGGAAACAACACATACTCTGAAATCATAAATCACCTTAACTGCAGTATTGCAGCAATTAATTGTGTCTCTAAACCACAATCTCTCACAAGGTCACCAAACCAAGATTTAACTTCTAGCCTAGCACTGATGACTGAAGCTGGCTTTGCATACATTATCTTGACCGAGCTGAAGTGCTGTGTCTGGCACATAGCAGGCCCCTGGGGTTTTAAGCAGGAAAGAAACAGATAAGGAGACCTTTTTTTTTTTTAAAATCCTAGAAAAAAATGCCTAAAGGACCCACCCTTTCTGTCAAACAGTATCATTCTGTAGTCTCCCAAAAGGCTTCCAGTAGATTGCATGGGACTTAATCAGTGCTCACACACCAGGTGACAGCCTGGATAGCTTTCCTGAAAATGTGGGTGTCCACTCCGGGCGGGACAACATGCAGAGCGGCCCCTGCTGGGACTCTGCAACTCTTCAGAGTTGTTTCTGCCTCATTTAGAAGGTGAGGTGGGTGACAGTAGAAGCTAATTTACTTATTCATTATTTCACTGTTTTATATTTTGGGGGGAATTTTTTAAAAAACATAGAAGTACAGAAAGGACTATAGCAATGTGACTATCTACTTATTCTTGTTCCATCTCTATCCTGCCTATTTTGGGGCAGGGAGGCTGAAAGTTGTTTTCCCGAGCAAATCTAAGTAACTCATTTTTAAAAGGAAAACTTCCTTCTTTTCTATTAGAATAAATACTATTCAACTTCACCTTTTTTCTCTTCCCACCCCCAGGAAAAATTAACTGCCTTCCCCTCCAAAAACAAGTACTCAGAAAGTATTAGAACACCTTGTTTCTGACAAGAATTCAGCCTTACCCCCAGCCCAAGAGGCTGCTGGTCCCACTCTGAGTGAAAGATGAGTGTAAACCCTGCAGGCGAACTGGCATTTGTCTTAATAAAACCAGGGTCATTGCAGCCCTGAGCCATGATGCTGCCAGAGAGCAAAGGGCCTCCAGGGAGCTGGGAGCACTTAGGCCCAGAGAGATGAAAACGCTGACTGGGGGGCCTTGTATGCAGAGGGTTCAAGGGTGAAATGAAGTTTTTCTTCCACATTAATGGATCTACTGGAAGTGTGGCTAGTGGAAGTCTGCTCCTCAAGCTCAGCCTCTCCAGGCTCTTCCCACTACCATGTTCACCTCTTAGTTTAAAGCAGGGCTGCTTGTGACATGGCCCAAGGAAGGGGTGGAGATTTCTGCTAACAGATGAAAGTGTCCTGAGCTATCAAGGCCAGTGGGAGCAAGGGGGCAGGAGGACTCACAGTGAGGAGCCTTTGAGGATGTCTGAAGAATGGGCTATAAAATAATGCAGAGGTGACCCTGTACCACTGGACGTCAGTTACACAGGGGATGGGGCCAGTGATCGCCCTCAGTACTATCCCTCAGCATATATAGCAGTGGAGCTCATACTGCACATCTTAAGGAGGGGGAGTTAATGGGGAGGGGTCCCTTGATGCATATTTCTCATTGTCTTCTGTGAGTTTCTGTCTTAAAGTTGACATTTGCAACCTTCACTATTGTCAGAGGAAGAACTTTCCTACTGCTTCGCCTGCTGTGCCCCTTAGTTTGTCTCCAAGGACCATCCCTCTCTCTCCGGCCTGCCCGTAGTAATCTGAGATTGGCACATAACTCTCTGCTTTCAGCTTCTGCCCCCTGCACGGTTTTAGAGGCTTCATGAAGTCTTTTGAAGTGATGATACCTAATCCTGTTCTCAGTCTGATAGTGCAGACAGTGAGTGTTATTATAGCTGTTTTGATATTGAAGGTCAGCAGGTCACCAGGAAATTTCACCATGCTGGTAATAGCATGCTAGGAGGCTGGTGTTTAGTTGGTTAGAACCTGTCTCCCATGGGACTGGGGGAAGGACAGTATGACCACCTGAGCCTCACATGGGTGCTGATGTAGCCACCACCTCTCTGTACACACTCTCTCTGCTTTCCCTCCAGGAGGGCCGCAAGAACGAGGTGCTGCTGTCCAAGATGAAAGCCAAGGCCTCCTGAAAGTTCCCAGCCATCGTACGTCATTGATTTATTTTAAATGCCACATACCAACTACAAGATCGTGAAATGGTTCTGAACACTACAGTAGAGAGATGCAGGTGTAATGATTTCCACACCATGGATATTTTCTCTCTCCTATTGGATTCCATTCCATCTCTGCAGTGGATGTTGTTGATGGAATCGGGCAGTGTAAACATTGTGGCTTAGGTAACACCCATCATCCTCTGCAGAAATGTGAGCGGTATTTGTTCTCTGTCGATTCAACTTTTATTTCTCCAATAATGTTGCACATATGAAGGTACCTGTATTTGTATGGACTCTGAATAAAGAGAAATTCATTTGTTCAGCAAATATTAATTAAACAACCATTGACAAGTAAGCAGTGAGCGAGATGGAAGTATCAAACACAGTCCCTGCAGTTGGGCTTCCAGCAAGTGGGCCAGAGAGCAGATAGAACTTATGTGACACAGAGCTTGGCCACCTGGGATTTTATTTTAGTAAACAAAGGTTTTTACAGCTAAATGACCATCCCATGTGAGTGTTGGTCACTTGGGCCCTGCACTTGCCTGTGGTGCCTTTTGTTCCTGGCTCCTCGAGGCTTCATGGTGTATTAACTAGAAAGAAAACCCAGTGTCTGCTGTTGGTTGAGTCCTTACACGCTACTCGAGTTCATTTCACCAAACATTGAAAACGGGCCGTATATTGAGGACTTAAATAAGAATGATGCCTTATCATGCTCTAGTTCTCATTTCAGTCATAGCCAAATGTGGATGGTCCTGTGTATCCCCTCCTTCCACATGCCTTATACTCTGGACATGTAATGGTCTGAGCACTGAGTGGAAATACCATTCACTGCAGTCCAGGGCAGTGTGTGATAAATCACAGAGTGACGGATGATGAGCAGGTGTCAGACGAGAAAACAGTGAGGTGTGTAGAGATCCAGGAGGACTCATGGAGGAGGCAGGCTTTGGGCTACATGTGAAGGGATCACAATGTTTTAATAGACACAGATACATGGGAAGGTCATTTTGGATAAAGATATGACTATGACTGCAAATCCAAGAGGATGCAGAAGAGTACAAGGCATGCTTGTTGGACGAGCATTTGGCTGGGCTGGTCTCTGTGCAAGAGGCTTTAGAGACCAGTCCAGAAAGATGGGCTGGGACCAGCCTTTGGAGGGCCTGAAGGGAAGGCTGAAGAGTTGACTTGATCCTCTGGAAGTAAGCAGTCCAAACTAAGCACAGGGCTCCTCCTGCCTTGGCCACAGGGATCTGGCAACTCAGTCAAGTTCAGGAAGCCCCTGTGTGAGGTTTGACTTCATGCAGATAAAGCTTGCACACATACCTGTCAGAAGGTTTGGACCATAAAGTATAAAAACTTAAACATGGTAGGCAGATGAGTCACTCAGAGCTGTCACAGGAAGGTCACATTCATTTTTAGTTTCCTCATGTATGTGATTAGGCAGGGCTGATGTGTATAGACTGAGAAAAAGAAAATCTCATGCTCGGTTAACAGCAGCCCTTGGTTTCTGTGCCAGGGCCAGTGAGGCCTGCAAGGCGGAGATGGCTGCTCCTGGAGCTGGGGAGGCAGCGGCATTCGAGGTGATACTCCGTGCTGAGCCATGGACATCTCCAGTTAGGCTGGACCATCGTCATTTGTGCATTTTGAAAGGGTTCAGTGAAGTTAAAGTAAGAAATTGCCAAAGAGCGGTGGTACTTGGAGGGTAGAGGAAGGAAACAGCAGTTTCACTGTAAATTATTTCAGGTTCGGGGAAACATCTCTGTTGAGAAGCTCATAGACCTACTCCCTAATTGACAGCTTTCTGAGGGTTAGGAGATTATTCGGATATTTGTTCAAAGGTGGTAGGGAAGAGTAGTGGGTGACACTCGGGGGTTATTATAAACCACCTCTCTGTGTTGTTGGGAAAGTGTGACAGGACTAATCTAAAGCAACCTGTAATTATTTTTTTAAGTGGGAGCATTTATGTTGGGTTATGTTTTGAGAGAGTTTTATTTGGTGCAGGGAGGACTCGGTATATATAGTCACTTTTTGTTATCTACAAAGCCTAATACAAAGAAATTAGTTTCCATTCTTTTTTTTTGGTACATGCCCCTAGCGGGAACCGAACCCAGGACTCTCTGGTCCGCAGGCCGATGCTCCAACCACTGAGCCAAACCAACCAGCCAGGGCCGTTTCCATTCTTTGAACACATTTTGAATTAGCGAAAGCCAGTCTACAGAAGACGTGCTTGCTGCAGATGACCTACAGAGCAGATGGTGCCTTTGTGAGCAGCAGGACAGGAAGTGTGCTTTCCAGTCAGGCCTTACAGGCTGAGGAAATGCCTGAGGCCCAGTCATTTCTGAAGCCAGCAGGGATTCCTCCCAGGACCACATCCTGTGCCCGCACAGAGTGTGGCTGGGTATTCTGCCAAGCCCACACACTTCCAACGGTTAAGAAAGAAGGGGGAACTTCCTTAACTGGCATTTATGAAATGTGTGCATCGGAGGAATGAGGTTTCCCCAGCAAGCATGCAGCTGTGCAGCAGTGAGTTTGCTAACAGGGCAGACTTCCCGTGGCCAGCCACCCGTGCCCTAGAGTTCTCGGCCATCCTCTAGGTTGGGAGCTCCTGAGCTCCCCTGCTCCCACACTCCCACATATGTCTCATGGAATACATGGAGCTGCTTTGATTTAAACCAAAATTGGAGCTGCTGTGAGCAGGACAAACTAGAAGAGACCTATTGGGAAACACTTGGGACATACTTCTTACAGTCCTTAGCCTGGATTCAGTCTCTCGTGGATCAGTGGGGTCAGCTAATAGCGCTCGAGAAAGGTGTCAAATGTTAAAGGACAGCTGCCACAGTTGCACATGAGGGGTCTGCTTCCTTTTTATTTATTTTTTAAATATTTTTTCTTTACTGATTTTAGAGAGGAAGGGAGGAGAGAGAGAAATATTGATGAGAGAGAACATCGATTGGCCGCCTCAGGCATGCCTCCCACTGGGGATCGGGCCCACAACCTGGGCATGTGCTCTGACTGGGAATCGAACCGGCAACCTCTTGGTGCATGAGTCACAGTGAGCCACAGGCTGCTTTTTTTTTTTTACAGAGAACACAGATTCCAAGTTTGTCAGGACTAAGCTCTTGTTAGAGGCTGGAGCATGTGGTTTTAACTGGGTTCTGGTTTGTAGCCCATGTTCTGTGGGTTCTGCCAGCATCTACTGAGTCTGACAGCAGAACCAGAAGGCAGGGGGGTGGTCCAGATAGGAGGCCTTTCCCAGGCTGAGGAAGTTCTTTCTAACAAACACCTTAGCTCTTGGGACCTCCTGAAACCAGGAGCAGATAGAGAAGGCCTCAGGCAGTGGCCGCCCTCTTCCTGCCTCACAAAGTGACCTCAGGCTATAACATCAATGGCCCCATCACCTCTGTAGTGACCAAGGCAAACCTGCCTGAAAAGGCACCCCGGACAGTAAGGAGTGGCCTATAAACCTGTACCTCCTTGATTTCTGTCACTTCAGCTGGCCTCATCTTGCCCCGTTTGTGGTGACTAATGATCAATATAAAAGGGAAGTAGATATTCTAGCAATAAATTTTAAATTATATTTTTTAAATTATAGTTTACATTCTGTATTATTTTTTATTTCTTTCATGTATACAGCATAGTAGTTAAACAATCATATATTTTAAAACTATTTCCTCTGACATTACCAGTACTTACCTGACACCATACACTGTTATTACAGTATTATTGACTGTATTCTCTATGCTGTACTTCATATCCTCGTGACTGTTTTGTAACTACCACTTTATACTTCTTAATCCCAGTTCAGCTTTTTCACCCAGTTTCTTAATTTTTCTCCCATCTGACAACTATCAGTCTGTTCTCTGTATCTATGAGCCTGTTTCAATTTTATTTTGGTTTTTAGATTCCACATTTAAGTGAAATCATATGGTGTTGTCTTTCTCCAACTTATTTCACTTAGCATAATACACTCTAGGTCCATCCATGCTGTCACAAATGGTAAGATTTTATTTTTTTATGGCTGAATAATATTCCATTGTGTTAATAATCTATTACAACGTTTATATCTGTTTGTCTACCAATGGGCACTTATGTTACTACCCTATCTTGGCTATTGAAAATAGCATTGCAGTTAACATAGGTGTGCATATATTTAAAATTAGTGTTTTGGATTTCTTTGGATATATTCCCAGAAGTGGAATTGCTGGGTCATAAGGCAGTTCCGTTTTTAATTTTTTTAGGGAACTCCATACTGTTTTCTACAGTTGCTGCACCAATCTGTATTCCCACCAACAGTGCACGAGGGGTTCCTTTTTCTCCACATCCTCACCAACACTTGTTAGTTCTTTGTTGATTTATTGATGATAGCCATTCTGACAGGTGTGAGGTGGTATCTCATTGTGGCTTTAATTTGCATTTCTCTGATGATTAGTGACATTGAGTATTTTTTCATATGTCTGATGGCCATCTGTGTGTCCTCTATGAAGAAGTATCTTTGCACCTTCTCTGCCCATTTTTAAATTGGATTCTTTGGGTTTTTTTGGTGTTGTGTTGTATGAGTTCTTTATAAATTTTGGGTATTAACTCCTTATCAGATATATCATTGGTGAATATCGTCTTCCATTCAGTAGATTGCCTTTTCATTTTATTGATGATTTCCTGTGCAATGCAAAACCTTTTTAGCTTGATGTAGTACCATTTGCTTATTTTTTTTCTTGTTTCCCTTGCCTAAGAAGATATATCAGGAAAATTATTGCTAAGAAAAATGTTAGATTTTACTGCCTGTGTTTTCTTCTAGGAGTTTTATGTTTTTGAGTCTTAAATTTATTTACGTTTTTAAACTCCATTTTGAGTTTATTCTTATGTACGGTTTTAGTTTTATTTTGATGATCTAGTTTTATTTTGTTTGTATATGTCTTCCCAACACCATTTATTGAATAGACTGCCTCTACACCATTTTATGTTCTTGGCTTTTCTGTCATGTATTAATGGACCATATTATTTCTGGGATCTCTATTCTGTTTTATTGTGCTGTGTGTCTGTTTTTATGCTAGTACGATGATGTTTTGATAACTGTAGCCTTGCAGTGTAGTTTGATATCAGGTAGTATGATACCTCCAGATTTGTTGTTCTTTCTCAAAGTTGCTGTGGCTATTTAGGGTCTTTGTGTTTCCATACAAATTGGGGATTATTTGTTCTAGTTCTGTGAAATATGCCATTGGTATTTTGATGGGAATTGCATTGACTCTATAGATTACTTTGGGTAGTATGGACATTTTAATGATGTTAATTCTTCCTATCCATGAACATAGTACATGCTTCCATTTATTTGTATCTTCTTCAGTTTCTTCTTTTCCAAGTACAGGTCTTTTACCTTCTCAGTTAGATTTGTAACTAGATATTTTAATTTTTTGATGCAATTGTAAATGGGATTGCTTTCTTAGTTTCCCTTTCTGACACATCATTATTGGTATATAAAATGCAATCAATTTCTGCATATTTACTATGTATCCTGCTACTTTACTGAATTCATTTATTAGGTCTAGTAGTTTTGGGGGGAATCCTCAGTGTTCTCTATATACAATATCATGTCATCTGCAAATAGTGACAATTTTACTTTTTGCTTTCCAGTTTGGATGCCTTTTATTTCTTGTTCTTGTCTGATTATTCTGGCTAGGACTTCCAGTACTATATTAGAGTGGTGAAAGTGGATGTCCCTGTCTTGAGGGTTTGTCAAAATATGGCCTTTATTATGTTGAGGTATGTTCCCTCTATACCCACTCAGCTGAGAGTTTTTTATCATAAATAGGTGCTGGATTTTGTCAAGTGCTTTTTCTGCATCTGTTGATAACAATCATACATTTCTGTTCTTCATTTTGTTTTTGTGATGTATCACATTAATTGATTTGTGGATATTGTATAATATTTTTAATGTATTACTGAATTTGGTTTGCTAACATTTTTTGAGGATTTTTGCATCTATTTTTGGTGTATAATTTTCTTTCCTAGTAATGTCTTTATCTGGTTTTGGAATTAGGGTAATGCTGGCCTCGTAAAACGAGTTTGGGAGCCTTCCTGCCTCTTGAATTTTTTAAAATAGTTTGAGAAGGATACATGTTAGTTCTTCTTTGACTGTTTGGTAGAATTCACCTGTAAAGACTTCCAGTCCAGGACTTTTGTTTGTTGGGAGATTTTTCATTACTGCTTCTATTTCATTAGTTGTACTAAGTCAGTTCAGATTCTCTGTTTGTTCTTGATTCAGTTTGAAAGATTGCATGTTTCTAGGAATTTATTCATCTCTTCCAGATTGTCCAATTTGTTGACATATAGTTCTTTATAATTATTTTTCTGTTTTTAATTTATCTTTATTGTTGAAGTATTACAGATGTCCCTTTTTTCTCCCATTGATACCCTCCTCCCCGCTCTTGCTGCCTCCCACTAACCTCCACCGCACTATTGTCTGTGTCCATTGGTTATGCATATATGCATATAAGTTCTTTGGTTTTTTTAGTAATTTTTTTTGCACTTGTGTGGTGTCAGTTACTTCTCTTTCATTTCTTATCTTTTTAAATTTATTTATTGATTTTTTGAGAGGAAGGGGAGAGAGAGAAATATCAATTTCTTGTTTACTTATTTATGCATTTTTGTATATTCTTGCATTTATGATTCTTGTATATTCCCTGACCAGAAACTGAACCACAACCTTGGCATATTGACCTTGCCAGGGCTCTCATCTTTCATTTCTGATTTTATTTATTTGGGTTCTCTGTTTTTCCTTGATGAGTCTAGATAAGGTTTATCAATCTTGTTTATCTTTTCAAAGAACCAGCTCTTGGTTTATTGATGTTTTGTATTGTTTTGTAAGACTCCATTTTGTTTATTTTCACTTTGATCTTTATGATTTCTCTTCTTTTACTCACTTTTTCTTTTTCTAGTTTATTTGATATAAGATTAGATTCTGTTTTTTTTTTTCTTTATTGATTTTGAGAGAGAGAGGAAAACAGAGGGAGAGAGAGAGAAACATTGATGAGGGAGAACATTGATTGGCTGCCTCCTGCATGCCCCCCACTGGGGATCAGGCCCACAGCCTGGGCATGTGCCATGACTGGGAATCAAACCAGCAACCTCTTGATGCATGGGTCAATGCTCAACCACTGAGCCACACGGGCTGGGCTAAGGTTAGATTCTTTATTTGTGATTTTTCTTGTGTCTTGAGGTAGGCCTGTAATGCTATGAATTTCTGTCTTAGGACTGCTTTTGCTGTGTCCTATAGCTTTTTGGGTTGTGTTTTTACTTTCATTTGTCTCAAGGTATTTTGATTTTTTCCTTGATTTCATTGTTAACCCACTCATTGTTTAGTAACATGTTATTTAGCCTCCATGTATTTGAGTGTTTTCAGTTTTTTCTTTAATTTCTATTTTTATACCATTGTGGTCAGAGAAGATGCTTGATATGATTTTAATCTTCTAAAATGTATTGATATTTATTTTGTATCCTAACATGTAGTATCCTAAAATGTTCCATGTGCACTTGGACAGAATGTATGTATATTCTGCTCCTTTGGGGTGAAATGCTCTTGAATATATCAGTTAATTCCATCAGTGTCATTTAAGGCCACAGTTTCCTTTTTGTTTTTCTTTTTGGAAGATCTATCCACTGATATCAATAGGGTGTTAAAATCCCCTACTGTGACTATATTATTGTCCATCTTTCCCTTAATTTCCATTAAGATTTGCTTTATATATTTAGGTGCTCCTATATTGGATCCATAAATAATGTTTACAAGGGTTATGTTGGATTGACTTCTTTTTCTTTTTTTGTTTAATCCTCACTTGAGGATATTTTTTCCATTTATTTA